TACTCTCTTATCTCTCTCTCCGCCTCTGATCGATGTAAGTATAAAATCCTCATCTTTGGTTTTCTGTTTGTTTGTCGAGAAAGTAGGTTGGAAAATCAGAGAAATTGCTGACTCGGGTATTTTAGTGTTTGAAATTTCATATTTGATAGTGATAGTATAGTCATCTAACGTCTGCTTAAGTCTTATGTCTGTAGTCAAGACATCTACTTGTTTTGCTGTTTCTGCAGATTTGTTGTTAAACAATGAGAGAGATCCTTCACATTCAGGGTGGACAATGTGGGAATTAGATCGGTGCTAATTTCTGGGAAGTGGTCTGTGATGAGCACGGTATTGATCCGACAGGACGATACAATGGAAACTCTAATTTGCAACTGGAGTGTGTGAATGTCTATTACAATGAGGCTTCGTGTGGGCGATTTGTCCCGCCTGTTGTGCTCATGGATCTGCGACTGTGATTTGTCTCAGGCGCTGGTGTTGGGTTCCTTCAAACCCAGTAGGGAGGGGAAGGAGAAAAGGAAAGAGAAGGAGAAAAAAAAGAAATTTTTATTTATTAAATTATATTTTTGGTGCCAAGTCACAATATTTTGAAGTTCAAGGGTAAATGTAGTTCAAAAATAAAAGTTAAGGGACTGAATCAAGGATTTAACCTTTTTTTTCAAACCTTTAGTTAGTAGTGGGACCCACAAATAAAATTGGTAGCAGGTAGATTTCCCGCTCATGTGGTTCCAAGTTGGCATGCCAAGTTGTCAAAAAAGTCTGAGGTGGCGTTGACATGTGCACACTTGACGGAGGCCAACGATGAACGTGCTACACGTGACGTTCTGGCGTTAAATTTTGCCTCATTTCCTCAAACTCGAAAATATGAAGGGCAAAAATTTATATATTATAATATGGAGGGTAAAAACCCTCAAAATTGAAAAGTTAAGGGGTAAATGGGTACCTTTTGCCGGACCTTAACAGCCAAAGTTACAAAAAAAAGGGCTATTTTCTTCCATTCTTATAAGTTAGGACTAAAACCGTTATGTTATAAGGTGAAAGGCCAAAACCGTCCAACTTAGCAAGGTAAGTGGCTATTCTTAGGCTTTTCCCCACCTAAACCATCTATTTTCTTCACAGCATATCAGGGCAATAATCTACTGAGGAAGGCTCTACCCTTCTTCTCAAGTTCTCATCTTTCCTTATACACACAACAATCCATTACCAGAACAGTGAGTTAATGTCTTTTCGTTACTCTGTTCTACCCACCGCCATTAAAGCACCACCAAAATCTCCCCCCCATAATAACTTTCCGCTATAAATTCATCATCTACCATTTTCAATTCCCACTTTATTACCCCAAATGACAGATCTATACCCGACATCAACGTGTGCTCTCCAAAATCTAGCTGGTTTCGTTTTCATTCTGAATCTTTTTTCCATTTCCATTTCCATTTTTTTCTTCTGATCTTGGGTCACCCTTTATATAATTGAATAAAATACTATAGATTTACGGGAATTAGTCAAATTTTTAGGCTGTCTCCAACTTAAAACCAGATAGTTCTTCCCGAGATTTGCGTGCAGTTTGTCTATTTAGTATTTCTTCTATATTATTAGTTTTTTGAAACTTGGTCAAGTTCCAGAAGGGTGGTGCATCAGATTTACTTTCTACTCTGCGGGGATTCACATCTTGAGCTCATATGATCTTCAAGGTGCTGTCTTGTGATTCAGCTGTTTCTCTGATTGATGACTAGAAGAAGTTGTCCTGGTGCTGTTCCTTATTTCGCATAACCCGTCAAGGTGACTACTTTATTCCTCCTCTTGGTTTTGATTTGGATTCTGTTTGATATTCGTTTAGCAGTAGCTCATCTGTTCTTGTTCCTAAATTAGTAACTTGATTTGGGTTCCAGTTGAGCTTGGAGGGATTTGGCGCAGTTAATTCTAGGATTTGCTGTGATGGGTCATGAAAGATTTGGATTGTTCATCTGGGTGTGGTCAGTTTTGTGTTTGGTGTGCTTGTCTAGTGGATTTAATCCCACAGACAATTACCTTATTGATTGTGGATCTTCCACCAATACTACAGTAGGAGGTCGAGTTTTCATGGGTGACAACTTGGCCTCGAAGTATCTTTCTTCCTCTCAAAGTGTCCTCGCAAGCACTTCCAAATCTGATCCCTCCACTGATTATTCAACACTCTATCAAACAGCCAGAATTCTTACCAGTGTCTCAAAGTTCACATTTCCTATTGGCCGGAAAGGGAGGCACTGGATTCGTCTTTATTTCTACCCTTTTGTTTATACTAGTTACAATATGAATTTGGCAAATTTTGCTGTTTCTACCCAAAATCATGTCCTCCTCAGTAATTTCAGTGTCACTACTGATGTTGTCAAGGAATTTTCTGTCAATCTAACCTCAGATAAGCTTGTTCTCACCTTCACTCCTTCCGACAATTCATTCGCATTTTTAAATGCCTTGGAAGTTGTTTCAGTCCCTGACGAGCTCATTATTGATGATGCCACTAGGCTTAGTACGAATCAAAATTTCCTAGGTCTGTTATGGCAGGCTCTGGAGACAGTTTATAGGGTGAACATGGGGGGACCTATGATCTCCTTTGAGAATGATACCCTGGGGAGAACTTGGGTGCCAGATCAGAGCTACCTCGTGCAAAAAAATCTTGCTACTAATGTATCTAATATTGAAGCAGTGAAGTATCCACAAGATGGGGCAACACCAGACACTGCTCCAAAGACAGTTTATGGTACATGCACCCGGATGAACTCCGAAGGTGATCCCAACAGCAACTTCAACATCACTTGGGAGTTTGATGTGGATCCAGGATTTCAATACCTTGTTAGATTTCACTTTTGTGATATTGTCAGCAAATCTCTGAACCAACTCTACTTCAATCTTTATATTGGCTACGTGATCGCTTGTCAGCCCGTCGATCTGAGTGTTTTGGCTACTAATCAACTGGCTGTTGCTTTGTATATGGATTATGTGGTGGCATCGAACACTAATAATAAGCTTCGTGTGAGTGTTGGCCCTTCTCCTCTACATGGCACATACCCAGATGCCATTCTAAATGGACTGGAAATCATGAAAATGAACAATTCTGATGGCAGCCTCAGCGGGTTGGGCTCTGTTGCTTCAGATTCAAGTGCAAAGAAGAAAGTTGGTGTGATAGTTGGCGTGAGCATTGCAGCTGCTTTTGCAGTGGTTTTGGCAGCGTTTCTCTTTGTATGCAATAGAAGAAGAAGATTGGCACGTCAAGGCCTCTCAAAGACATGGATTCCTTTGTCAATTAATGGAGGAAATTCTCACACCATGGGGAGTAAGTACTCCAATGTGACTACTGCTAGTATCAATTCTAACTTGGGGTACCGTTTTCCTTTTGTGGCTGTCCAGGAGGCCACAAACAACTTTGATGAGAGTTGGGTTATTGGTATTGGTGGTTTTGGTAAGGTTTACAAGGGAGTTTTGAATGATGGCACCGTGGCAGTTAAGAGGGGAAATCCAAAGTCCCAGCAAGGGCTTGCAGAGTTCCGGACTGAGATTGAGATGCTATCCCAATTCCGCCATCGCCACCTGGTTTCATTAATTGGCTACTGTGATGAAAGGAATGAGATGATTTTGATCTATGAATATATGGAAAATGGAACTCTTAAGAGTCATCTCTATGGCTCAGGTCTTCCCAGCTTGAGTTGGAAACAGAGGCTTGAGATATGCATTGGAGCAGCTAGAGGACTACATTACCTTCACACTGGATATGCAAAAGCAGTTATTCATCGTGATGTGAAGTCGGCAAACATACTGCTTGATGAGAATCTCATGGCAAAAGTTGCTGATTTTGGTCTATCAAAGACTGGACCTGAGATTGATCAGACTCATGTGAGTACTGCTGTAAAAGGAAGTTTTGGGTATCTGGATCCTGAATATTTCAGAAGGCAACAATTGACAGAGAAATCAGATGTGTATTCATTTGGTGTGGTTCTGTTTGAAATTCTTTGTGCAAGACCTGTGATAGATCCAACTCTTCCTAGGGAAATGGTGAACTTAGCTGAATGGGCAATGAAATGGCAGAAAAAAGGGCAGTTGGAACAAATAATAGATCCTGCTCTTGTGGGAAAGATCAGGCCGGATTCTCTTAGAAAGTTTGGAGAAACTGCTGAGAAGTGCTTGGCTGATTTCGGTGTTGACAGGCCCTCTATGGGAGATGTCTTATGGAATCTAGAGTATGCATTTCAACTTGAGGAGGCAGTCATTCAAGGTGATCCGGATGAAAACAGCACTAACATGATCGGGGAGCTTTCTCCACAAGTCAACAATTTCGGTCAGCATGATGATCGTTCTGTTTCCACCACACCGTTTGAAGTGTCAAGTGTTGATGATCTCTCTGGTGTTTCAATGAGTAAGGTGTTTTCACAACTGGTGAAGTCTGAAGGCAGGTGAGTCATCCAAGAAGGTTCTATTTACTGGTTTAGCATCTCATTTAACACTACTTCTGTGGTTTGCCTCTGCCCTGTGATCAATTCGCTGCTTGTCAAGTTGGATTAGTTAGGTATCATTTTTCTTCGTTCTGTTTTAAAAGTTAGCATTCTAAATTTGTTCAGATATATTTGCTTTGTCTTGTGATGGCGTAGAAACCAAACAAAATCGTTTGTGGTGTTCTGATATTAGAAGTACAAAATGTGTTGAGATTTTTCTTGTACAGAAGGAATGTGGTGTGTTAAAGCAAGTTTTAGGAAATTTGATAAGTACCCTTGCATTTGAATGTTATGTTGCCTGTTTCTGTCAATTTCTAATGCCTATTGAGCAATGATTAATTGCATAATTTGCGTGTGCTAAGTTCTTATTGCCTTCCCTGCATCAATCAAGCACAAAAATACATAACAATCAAGAAAAGTTGAAATTCTTAAGTGTATGGTCCCAAGGAGACCTGCTTTTTTAATTGCACACCATCTTCTGTACACGTATGATTGGCTTTGGCTGTATGCCATTTTGCTTTCTTCCTTCAGGATTACTCATTCATGATGAGCTAACCTTGTGCTGGCTCTTTCTGCCCATCCTTATCTGTATATGAGTATTGGTCAATGATTCATGGAAGGTTTGGAATTTTTAAAGCCAACACCCACCACCACTTAGCTACCAACTTCCCATTGTTTGTTATTTTTTTTTATGTCATAATTAAAGAAATATTCTCGTATGGAAAGAACATCAAGAGATTTGATTCAGAAACTTCTAGTAAGGTCGAGAAATTTGTGAGAAACGTTACAAAATATTGTATAGATTTTAATGAGGAGCTCCTTAGAATCCTGGATTATTATCTGTCTTTTACTTCTCTCTTTGGGCTCCATGTGGTTTGGACCGTTTGGTACTAGGGCGGCAATGGCATTCAGAGTTTCAGACCCCA